TCGTGGGTACCAAGCAACTTTTGATCACCAAATGGGAAAAACTGAGTCTAGCAGTGCTTTCAATACCGAACAGATGGAGCAACTTTACAAAATGTTTTCCAGCCTTCAATCGTCAAGTCAAACATCCGGAAAAAACCCATCTAGCTCATTAGCACACAAAGGTAATTTTTTAAGGGCCTTGCATTCTGCAAATCAATCTAACATCCCCTGGATTATCGATTCAGGGGCATCTGACCACATGACGGACTCCTATCATCTGTTTTCTACATACTCCACCTGTGCCGGCAACCTAAAAGTTAAAATTGCAGATGGCTCACTGTCGTCGGTGGCAGGAAAAGGGAGTATTAAGATTTCTAACTCTATAATTCTAGAATCTGTCCTTCATGTTCCAAAGTTGTCGTGTAATTTACTGTCCATAAGCCAGTTGACAAAAAACTCAAATTGTTCTGCTAAATTTTTCCCATCTTACTGTGTTTTTCAGGACCTATCATCGGGGAGGACGATTGGCAGTGCTAAAGAACGTGAAGGACTTTACTATTTTGATGAGACTGATGTGAGTAAACAACAAGAAGTCACACTTTGCAATTCTACATCTGTCCCTAGTGATAGTGATATTTTGTTATGGCATTTTAGAATGGGTCATCCAAACTTCCAGTACCTAAAACGTGTATTCCCATCACTATTTATGAATAACCGTTTTTTTGATATTCAGTGTGAAATATGTGAGTTTGCAAAACATCACCGGACATCTTTCCCGATCTCCAGATACAAACCTTCCAAACCATTCATCCTGATACATAGCGACGTATGGGGTCCCTCACGCATCCCCAATCGAACTCATGCAAAGTGGTTTGTGACATTCATTGACGATCACACTCGACTTTGCTGGGTGTACCTACTAAAAGATAAATCTGATGTTCGCTCTGTATTCATCAATTTTTATACCATGATCCAAACACAATTTCAGACACACATCCAAACTTTACGTACTGATAATGGCACCGAATACTTCAATGCCACCATGGGTGATTTTCTCAAATCCCATGGAATAATTCATCAAAGCTCTTGCGTCGACTCCCCACAGCAAAATGGGGTTGCTGAACGAAAAAATAGACACCTTCTAGAAGTTGCTAGGGCGTTGATGTTCACTTCTCATATGCCAAAAATGTTTTGGGGGGATGCAATCCTGACATCCACCTTCCTAATCAACAGGATGCCAAGTCGAACCTTAAACTTTAAGTCTCCTCTCCAAACACTTCAATCCTTTTTTCCTACCTCCTGTCTTAGCTCCAACCTTCCCTTACGAGTGTTTGGCTGTACTGCCTTTGTTCATGTTCATCACAGAGGTAAACTTGATCCTCGAGCTGTTAAATGTGTTCTACTCGGTTACTCACCTACTCAAAAAGGCTACAAATGCTATGATCCCTCCACAAAACGAATCTTTGTAAGTATTGATGTCACCTTCTTCGAAACAACCCCATATTTCAAACAAACCTCTCTTCAGGGGGAGACTCTACATGAAGATCGGTTCTTTGACTTCGACCTTCATCCTCATCCTCCTGATCCTACATCTACCAACAACCCCATACTACCATCTAATATGCCAGTAACAGAGGAAAACTTACAGTCAGGGGGAGATGTAGAAAACCAAAGTAATAAAGAGATATTGGTTTACTCACGGAAGCCAAAATCAAAGTACAAAGGAACCATCACAACTGAGGCACCAAAAGAGTCCGAACCGATGATAGCTCCACATGAAGCTTTAGAAATTCCTGACTTACCCATTGCTCTCAGAAAACCTACTCGGTCATGTACTTTCCATCCTATTTCTAAATTCATGTCTTATAATGCTTTATCTATTGGATTTCGTGCTTTTACATCTCACCTTGATAGCACAAAGATCCCAAGAAATGTTGAAGAAGCCCTAGAAAACCCTAAATGGAGGGAAGCCGTTTTGGAGGAAATGAGGGCGCTGGAGAAAAATGAGACCTGGGAAGTATCGGATCTACCGAAAGGAAAGAAACCGGTTGGGTGCAAATGGGTCTTCAATCTTAAATACAAAGCAGATGGGACAATAGAAAGGTATAAAGCTCGGTTGGTTGCAAAAGGATACACCCAAACATATGGCATCGATTACACAGAAACGTTTGCACCAGTAGCAAAATTGAATACAGTTCGGGTCCTTCTGTCCTTAGCAGCCAATCTAGATTGGCCGTTACAACAACTCGACATTAAAAATGCTTTTTTGAACGGAGCATTAGAGGAAGAAGTTTTCATGACTTTACCACCAGGGTTCAGCAGAGGTAATAAAGATAACAAAGTGTGCAAACTCAAGAAGTCTCTATATGGACTCAAACAGTCACCGAGAGCATGGTTTGATAGATTCGCAAAAGTGTTAAAGAGTCAAGGATATCGACAAGGACAGTCAGATCATACTATGTTTCACCAACATTTTAATGATGGGACTAAGACAATCTTAATTGTTTACGTTGATGACATCATTCTGACAGGAGACTGTGGCAGAAACTGAAAGACTAAAGAAATGCCTCTCCACTGAATTCGAGGTGAAGGATCTGGGACAAATGCGATACTTCTTGGGAATGGAGGTGGCAAGATCAAAAAATGGAATCAGTGTTTCACAACGAAAGTATGTTATCGACCTCTTAACTGAAACTGGGATGCTAGGTTGTAAGCCAAGTGATACACCTGTCGAAGTAGGAAAAAGACCTGAAGAGGACGGAAAAGAGGTAGAGATAGGAGGATACCAAAGGTTGGTTGGAAAGTTAATATACTTGTCACACACTAGACCAGATATTGCCTTCGCAGTTAGCCGGGTGAGTCAACATATGCACTCACCAAAGGAAAGTCACTTAGAAGCAGTCTACAAGATACTACGATACCTCAAGGGATCCCCAGGAAAGGGACTGTTTTTTAAAAGGGGTGAAAGGAAAGAGATTGAAGTCTTCACCGATGCAGATTGGGCAGGATCAATAGAAGACAGAAGATCAACTACTGGTTACTGTACCTATGCGTGGGGAAATCTTGTAACTTGGAGAAGTAAAAAACAA